TAGTTTTAATAACAAGAAAGAAAAATGGTATGTTTGTGTGGATGTTAATAAAAATACGAAAATGCAAAGGTAATTTCAGGGTAATTTTGTAAAATACAAAGTACAATTCTATGTTTGGGTGGGATTTGAAAAAATGAAAGAAAATGCAATGGTATATCAATGTAGTTTTGAAAAAGAAAATGAAATTAGAATATTTTGTTTGAGAAGATTTGAATAAAAGATGAAAATGTAATAGTATATAATTGTACTTTGAAAAAAATGATAGTAGAGTGTTCTGTTAGGGTAGAAAATGAAAAACAAATGAAAATATATTGGTATAAAAGGGTAGTTTTACAAAAGGTGATATTAAAATAATATGTTCTGGTATGTGTACAAAAAAGGAGAAAATACAACTATGTAGAAATTGAAAAACAAATGAAAATATGTTAAGGTAGTTTTAGAGGAAAAAATGATAGTAGAATGTTATTTTTGGGTAGATTTTAAGGGTATGTTTTAGAAAATGAAAATAAAATGCGATGTTTAGGTATCTTTTTCAAAATAGATGAAAATGCAACGGTAAATCAAGGTAGTGCTAAAAAACATGAAAGTTTAATGTTTTATTCTTGTAGATTTGAAAAAAAAAAAAAAAAAAAAAAAAAAAAAAAAAAACCTTGAAAATACAAGGCAATATTAGGGCCTTTAAAAAAAATAAAAACATAATGTTATGGTTATGTAGAATTTGAAAAAAGATGAAAATGCAATTGTGTTGTAACAAGCTAATTTTAATAAAAACAAAGAAAAATGTTATATTTAAATAGATTTTGAAAAAGTTCAAAACAGTTATCTAACAAGCTAGTTTTAATAAAAAGAAGTACAACGCTTTGTTTGGGTAGATTTAAAAAAAAAATACAAAAATGCAATTGTGTACCAAGCTATTTTTAATAAAAAGAAAATAGAATGCTAATTTTGTGTAGATTTGGAAAAAGGATGAAAATGTAATGACGTATCTTTAGTTTAAAAAAAACGAAAGTAGAATCGTATGTTTGGATAGATTTTGAAAAAAGATGAAAATACAATAGTGTAACAAGCTACTTTTAATAAAAAGAAAATAGGATGCTTTGTTTTGGTAGATTTTGAAAAAAGAGTAAATCGCAATGTTGTATCTTTAAAGTTAAAAAAAATGAAAGTAGAACGTTATTTTTGGGTAGACTTTGAAAAAAATGATAATGCAATTGTGTAAGATGCTAGTTTAAATAAAAAGAAAGAAAATGCTACCTATGTAGATTTTGAAAAAAAAAAAGATGAAAATTCAACTATCTAACAAGCTAGTTTTAATAAAAATTAGAATGCTATGTTTTGGTAGTTTTTTTAATAAAAGATGAAAATGCAATTTTGTAAAAAACTATTTTTAATAAAAAGAAAATTTAATGCAATGTTTGGGTAGATTTTGAAAAAAAAATAAAATAAAATAAAATTGAAATAGTAACAAGCTAGTTTTAAGAAAAAGAAAGTAGATTGCTATGTTTTGGTAGATTTGTTAAAAAGAAGAAAAAGCAGTTGTGGAACAAGCTAGTTTAAATAATAAGAAAGAAAAAGTTATGTTTATGTAGATTTAAAAAAAAATGAAAATTCAATTATGTGAAGCAAGTTTTCAAAAAAAAAAGTCGATCCTATGTTTGGGTACATTTTGAATAAAAGATGAAAATACGATTGTGTAGAAAGCTAGTTTTAATAAAAAGAAAATAGAATGCAACGTTTGAGTAGATTTTGAAATATATATATATATATATATATATATATATATATATATATATATATGAAAATGCAAGCTAGTTTTTGGATAGATTTAGAAAATGGATGAAAATGCAAATATTTAACAAGCTAGTTTTAATCAAAAGAAAGTAGAATGCTATGTTTCAATAGATTTTGAAAAATGATGAAAGTGCAATTGTGTAGCAAGCTAGTTTTGATAAAAAGAAAGAAAAATTGCTATGTTTGTGTGAAAGTAGAATGCTATGTTTAAAAAAGAAATGAAAAAATATGAAAATGCAATGGTATAAAAGGGCAGTTTTTCAAAAACTAAAGTTAGAATACTATGATCTCGTATATGAAGAAAAAAGGAGAATACTATCTTTGGGTAAATTTTAAAAAAAGATGACAATGAAATAATATATAAGGGTATGTTTAAAAAAATGAAAGTAAAATGCAATGTTTAGGTATATTTCTTTTAAAAAAAGATGAAAATGCAATGGTAAATCAAGGTAGGGCAAAAAGCATGAAAGTTTGATGGTATATTCGGGTAGAATTAAAAAAAAAAAAAAAAAAAAAAAAACTTGAAAATACAAGGCAATATCAATGGTTGTTTTCAAAAAAAAAAAAACATAATCTTATGTTTAGAAAGAATGATTTGGGTAAATTTTGAAAAAGATGAAAATGTAATTGTGTAACAAGCGAGTTTTAGTAAAAATAAAAGTAGAAAGCTATGTATACCTAGAAAAAGATGAAAATGCAATGGTGCATCTATAGTTTAAAAAAATGAAAGTGAACTGTTATTATGTTCATGCAGATTTTTAAAAAAGATGAAAATGCAATTGTGTAACAAACTAAATTAGCAAAAAAAAAAAGTAGAATGTTATGTTTTCATGGTATTTGAAAATATATGAAAATACAATGGTACATCTTTAGTCTAAAGAAAATGAAGGTAAAATGCTATGTTTAGGTAGATTTTGAAAAAAAAAAAAAAAAAAAAAAAAAAAAAAAAAAAAAACACGATTATGTAACAAGCTAGTTTCAATAAAAAGAAATAGATTGCTATGATAGGGTAGATTTTGAAAAAAAGATGAAAATGCAATTTTTTTAAAAAAAGTTTAGAAAAAATAGATTGTAAAGTTTGGGTACATTTTGAAAAAAAGATGAAAATGCATTTGTGTAACTTAAGTTTTAAAAAAATGAAAGAAGTATGCTGTTAGATTTTGAAAAAAGATGAAAATGCAATTGAGTAACAAGCTAGTTTTAATAAAAAGAAAATAGAATGCTATGTTTGGGTATATTTTGAAAATAAGATGAAAATACAATTGTGTAAAAAGTTAGTTAAAAAAAAAGTAGATTGCAATGTATGGGTTGATTTTGAAAAAAAAAGTATGAAAATACAAAGGTAATTCAGGGTAACTTTTAAATATACAAAATACAATTCTACGTTTTGGTATGATTTGGAAAAAATATGAAAATTCGATGATACATCAATATAATTTTGGAAAATGAAATAAGAATATTTTGATTGATAAGATTTGAAAAAAAAAAAAAAAGATTAAAATGTAATAGTATATAATGGTACTTTTAAAAAAAATGATAGTAGAGTGTTAAGTTTGGGTAGATGTTGAAAAACAAATGAAAATGTATTGGTATGTAAGCATAGTTTAAAAAAAATGAAAGTAGATTGTTACGTTTGGGTAGAAATTGAAAATACATATGTAAAATGAATGGTATTAAAGGGTAGTTTTAAAAAAAATGAAAGTACAATGCTATGTTTAAATATGTTTTGAAAAAATATGAAAATGCAATGGTATAAAAAGGTAGTATTTCAAAAACTCAAAGTAGAATACTATGTTCAGATATATGTTGTAACAAAGAGAAAATGCAAACTACGTATCAAGGTATGTTTAAAAATAATGAAAATGTATTGGTATATCAAAGCAGTGTTAAAAAACATGAAAGTTCAATGCTATATTCTGGTAGATTTAACGGAAAAAAAAACCCTTAAAATACAAGGCAAATATCAAGGTTTATTTATAAATAGTAAATACAGAATGTTATGTTTTGATAGAATTTGAAAAAAGATGAATTTTGAAAAAACAAAATGGTATAAAAGGGTAGTTTTACAAAGAATGAAATTAGAATGTAATGTTGGCGTAAATTTAGAAAAAGTTGAAAACGCAATTTTGTATCTTAAGTTCAAAAAAACAAACAAAAAATAATTGTTATTTTTGGATAAATTTTGAAAAAGGATGAAAATGCTACTAAATATGAAGCTTGTTTTAATAAAAAAAGAGAAAAATGCTAGGTTTAGATAGAAAACTAATTTTATTAAAAAGAAAATAGAATGCTATTTTTGTGTAGATTTTGAAAAAGGATGAAAATGTAATGGCGTATCTTTAGTTAAAAAAAAAACGAAAGTAGAATCATATGTTTGGATAGATTTTGAAAAAAAGATGAAAATGCAATAGTGTAAAAAGCTAGTTTTAATAAAAAAAAAAGTAGAATGCTCTGTTTTGGTAGATTTTGAAAAAAAGAGTAAACCGCAATGTTGTATCTTTAAATTTAAAAAAAATGAAAGTAGAACACTATTTTGGGGTAGACTTTGAAAAAATATGAAAATGCAATTGTGTAATATGCTAGTTTAAATAAATAATAAAAATGCTATGTTATGGTAGATTTTGAAAAAACAAAAAGATGAGAATTCAGTAACTATCTAACAAGCTAGTTTTAATAAAAATTAGAATGCTATGTTTGGGTAGTTTTTGAATAAAAGATGGAAATACAATTTTGTAAAAAACTATTTTTAATAAAAAGAAAATTTAATGCAATGTTTGGGTAGATTTTGAAAAAAAAAAAGATGAAAATGAAATAGTAA